TCAGAAAAACTGGTGTTACATTATACATTAACATTTTTAAGTGTCATCTACATGAAAATTTTAAATAATTCCATTTTTTTAATTGTAGTTAGTGAAACTTTTGCTTATACAGACAAAACTTGGTAACCATGGGAAGGTACAGTTCTCAAAACTTGCTTCTTTTGGTAGGCTTTGGGACTAGTTGGCTGCCCAGCACTTACTGACCAGGTATGTTTCCTGCTTTAAAGAAACTGGCTGGTGGTTATGTCAGTCTCACCACCGAAGTATTGCAAGACTCGAGTCCCACTGAATTCTCTTTAAAATGCAAAAGGCATTGAAAGACTGAAAGGCTGCAGTTCTTTTGTGCTCCTGGCATGTAAGCAGGGGAAGGCTCTTAGCTGGGCTAGCTCTGCCACCTGCAGCTCAGAGCCGGCAGGACCGCAACGTCTTCACCAACAGCGTAACAAACATTTGCTGCTGGAAATGTAAAAATTCTCATGGAGACAAGAGGTTTCACTGAAGAGGGTAATTGCTACTTAAATTAGCAATAGACTACATAAGCTTATGGTATGCAAAAGTAAGGTAAAAGAGAGCTTTCACATTGGTCTTTCTGCTAATCTTCACCGCTATCAGAATGCACGTCTATTCTCAGAACAGAACAGAAACCTGGTGTTAGAACAAAAATCATAAGGCTAAAACCATTCTTGGTGTGACTGGAGTGATCTCAGAGCTGAATCTGACCCCTTACCTATGAAGGCCGATTTTGGCTCTGCTGATAACCGAAGTATTACAGGAAATTATGTGTGGATCCATATTCTCAGAACCCTCTAACTCCTGTCTGCAGTGCCTCCAGTATCTCCTCATATAACTCCCTTCTTAAAACACACTGTTTTCTGAAACCTATAAATGCTAGTCTTCTCCTCTAAAAGAGAGTCATTAAAAAAATAAAATAAATCAAGTCCTTCCAGATGTGTTTTACTAACGCAAAAAAACATGTGCTTTATTATGTTCCCTACTTTCACTTCCCTGAGCCCCAAGGGTATAACATTGCCATTTTCTCAAGTTGGATCCAAGCCCTGTAATTGATGAATTGTCCATAGGATCCATATGGAACTCTAGCAAAATCACTGATGCTCTGTACGGCACCAAGATGCGTGCATGTCCCAGTGTGTGCTGGGCACCCACAAATACAAACTTTTCATGCCAATGACTTCTCTCACTGTAAAGCACTGTATTCGTCTCTAGCAGTGGATCCAATTCACAGCTATGACACAGTGAAACAGCAATGGTTCCGCAGTAATGGTCAGACATCATTGTGATGAGTTCAAATAAGAAAACATGACTGGAAACTAATTCTAATAATACTGGGTTACTAAGCATCATGTGGAGTTTATTCAGTAGGTTTTAGTACTGCAGAGAGAAAGTATATAATCTATTATGATACATATTCTTCCAAATATGTCTTAAAAGCTAGAAGGAACACAGTTTTTCTTTTAACTTTGGGCTTCGTTCAATTGCCCACACACTTAAGACACCTTCTAGTGCTTGAAACATCCACATGGAGCCTTCTGTCCTTCTGGGACAGCAAGAGAGATCAGATGGATCAGATCCAGGACAACCTAGGGCATTTCAGCTGGCGCTTGACACCTATTTGCGAGCAAATGAGTCCCACCTTTTGTGTTGCCTAAACATGGAGCTTGGAAATGTCTAACTGTGTCTTGTCAAGTATTGCCATTAAAGGTTCTGGGTCCCTAGAAATGTAGAAATTATGTCTGTGATCATATATCGTCACTGCACTAAAGTCTTTAATAAAGTCTTTAGGGCATTTTCCTGGGTGACTGATTCTGAGCTGTGCAGAAGATGCTTGTAGAAGAGATCGGTTTTGTTGGTGTTCCAAATATTATTATTATTATAGTTCTACAGTAAAGACTTGTACATTTTAATATTATCCAAAGCTTAAAAAAAAGTTAAAATAAATGTTTTGAAAAGGAATCTCACAGAGTGAGATTAGGTGATCTGTGGGGAATAGGCAGTCGAAGCCTCAAGCTGCTTCTATATGCCAATGAATGTAGGGGTACGTAAAACATTTTGTTAGCTTTGTTTTAAGAAGTCACTTTGTAAAACGATGCAGTCAAACCAGCCTGCCAGTTACCCTGCTCACTAGCAGTTGAAGATGGCGGGTGGTTTTGGCCAACCTAGCTCTTAAATGCATCTTGTCCCCCCATTTTTAATCTAGCTCTTTGCAAAAACCAAGCTACTGATTGTCAGTGGCAGGTTCCTCAGACTTAAGACAATTGGACCACGATCTTTTCCTCTTTCGGAGATTTGGTTTTGAGTCACTTGAGATTTCAAGTAGGTCTCCGAGGTCACTGAAAAAGACTGTGAGATTTAATATCAATCATTGTTAATCCAGTTCATTTTACATTTGTGCCCAATTCACATGAGCTAGATGCATTTAAAATGGACTTTTCACTACAGAGTGCAATGCTCTCCTATTACTCAGGCATCCAAAGCTGACTTAGAATTTGCAGACTTTAGAGGGAGAAAATGGTTGAGAATTCCCCAGTCCCAGAACCAGAAGAGGAATTCACGCAAGTCCATACAGCTCCCAAATATCCAGGAGATGAGACTGTCTCATGTCCCAGCGTAGGGGCCTCAGTGCTTGTCATTTTGAGTCCATGCATGTGAGATCAGTCAGGCATTGCTACATTTTGGGTCCGTATCCAATTTTAATCTTGTGTGTGAAGTGAAAGATTATAGACCGGATTAGCAGTCAAGATATCTACAGGCAGCAGGGACTGCGTAGTTCTCCTCAGTTGCGCATTACGGTTAGTGCCCAATAGGAAACATCTTTGCCAGATGATAAAGAAGAAACATTCTCTTTGTTGCCAACAATAAATATATATGGAGGAGTAAATGTGTCATGAATAAAGTGTCCCTAAGGAAATCTTGGAAGACCCTACACGTATATTTACATACTTTTAGTAGAGCTATGTGCGTGTAGTGCTCTGCCCTGGCTAAATAGTTTGTTAAGAATTATCACAGCTGTCTGTTTCATGCTAGTTACTATCTGCTCATAATGAGACAATTTAGGCAGCCCTGCCAGAAACCCAGACTTCTGAGAACCAAAACGATGGTGTCGATTATGATCATAAATCTCTCTCACACAAACATACACAAAACCTGCACAAGTGCCTACAAGTTTCAGAATAAATTAAATAAGAACTCAAAATACAACACCTCTTTCACAGCATAAACTGGATCCTGCACATACTTTAGGACCTGATGCTCTTAATTTTTGGTAGAATATTGAACCAGAGGAAAATCTGAGCCCAAAGTGCACAATCTGATAGCAACTCTCTGTCTATTAGATTACCTTGCAGATATTTATCTACAAAAATATATGTAAAAAGTCTATGTAAGAAAAAAGTCAATGAGGCAACTGCAGATTCAATTTCTGCAGTTGGAAAAAAATAATTCCTCATACTGAAGCTCTTCATTCTCCCTGCTGCTTTATGTTATCTCTGTTTTAACTGCTGTTAATGAAAGGCTCATCAAAAGGCAGTGCCAATACACAATAATATTTAAATGCTGAATTAATCTCTTAGTCCTCATGGCAGCTCCTTTCAGCTATTTTCCCTGCATACTTGGCATCTCCATTTATATGAATGAGAGTGGGGTGCACACGGGGAGAATGGAGCAAACATTGATCGGCTGTGTAGCCCAGAGAGAAGAATTTGCCTCATGTCTTATGTGTTTGTTAAAGCATGGAAGGAAAACATTGCCTGCGGAAGTAAATCCAAGCAAGACCTGGTAAAATTAAGTAAATAACGAAAAACAAGACTCCGCTTAAGTTATGCCTTTCTGCAGTTGCCATTCTAACTTGTATTAATTTGACCAACTTGTTGTCTTACTTCTGTTGGTAAAAAAAGCCAAACCTTCCCCTGCTTCTAAATGCTTTGAAAAGTGACTAAAAATGGCATGCAGGCTCCATGTATATTCTCTGTCAGCTATTTCCTTATCAAATGTGCTCAGTTAGCAAGTAAGGAACCTTTTCCTCCTATGTGCCAGCCCTGCAAATTTCAGGTGGAACATAGGGGTCAATCTGGATTTTTTTCTTTTCATGTAGGATGACCAAAAAACCAAGGATCCTTGTAAACAAGTGAGAGTAAGCCCTCAATTACATGTGTGCAATTTTGTAGTCTGTAGTCTTCTGTGGCTTTGTGTAAGGTTTAACTGACTGGAAATGATTCTGCAGTGATAAATAGGAGGGAATAGAAACCAGCTCACTGTGTTCTTTATGCTAGATCTGCTGTGCTAACAGGAGCAAAAAGCGGTGAACAGTGATTTTAATTACTAAGTGAACAGATAGAAAATATATAAGACGCTATTTAAACAAGAGGTTTGCTTGAAATTCCATGTTTTCAGAAATCTCCAGCTCTGACACAATAGAGTGTTCAAGCTGACGAGGAAAATAAAATGCTTCTCTTTTTTCTTGGACATATCATTCATGTGATGGGAAGAAAATGTATAGGTCCTCATAACAAAATTATTTGAATTATTTTGCATGCAATAGCAAGATAAAATACATTGTTTACAACCCTCATTTATGAGAAGTCTTCATTGTGGAGTGCAGCAGGTCAGAAGATCATTGTGTGTACATTTTGCTATACGGGCATGATAACCTGCTATGGGCATTTTATTATTTATTAATTCTTTGCAGTTTTGGCAATCAAGCATGAAAATTGTCTACTCTTCTGAAATCTCTGTAGTCTGGAAGACCAGAGTTGAAGTTTATCTGATTTTTTTTTAAACACTTAAGAGAGCAAATAGTGAGCAAAAGTTTTCTCAATTTGAAGTTTTGATCCTGCAATCCCAGTGCAGATTAAACTGAGCTGTACAAGGCATACTCTGTTAGCCAGGGTAAAAAAAATCCAAGAATATACTTTCCAGCTATGTAAATACTGATCAACGGAGTCTTTGCTTGGATGAAATCATTCTATTCTGACTTTTTCTTCCAGTTGTGTGTAATACTGGAGCCAATGCAGGAACTGATGTCAAGACATAAAACTTACAATCTAAGTCCTCGAGACTGCTTGAAGACTTGCTTGTTTCAAAAATGGCAGAGAATGGTGGCCCCACCAGGTATGTTTCATTTCCAGTATTTTACTTATTTTATAGTTAAATTAATATAGAAACAATGGGACAATTTACTGCAAATTTACTTACAAAGGAAAGTAATAGGAATTAGTACTGTTCCAAAAGTAAGCCTGAAAACCATTCTGATGTTTTATGATTTCAGTCTGACCCAACTGATTTATAGATGTGCACATTCAGATGGTTTCACTATGACTAGGATATAATTTAGTGCAAAAATATGTGTAGATGGAATGCAAAATGCCTACTGGCTCCATTAGAATTCATCGTTTGTGTAATTCAGCCTCCTGCTGTGACTCTGAAATTACAGCTACAATTCATAATTAATTGTCTTTGAGACTAATATAATGTTATTTACAGGCCTGGACCTAATCTCCTTCCTCTTACACCTCAAAATAATAATTCTCTCTTTTTCCAGATTATTAAAGGTTTGTGTATCTAAGACTGTTCACATAGGTGCCCAGGCCAAATTTTGAAAAGTACAATTGCCCCTCTGTTCTTTTCCAATTTAAGAAAAGTTATGTAATTGTCCTAATTTGGTCTGAGTTTGGAAGACTCGCAGAGAAATGGCATTCAGTACTCTCTAACGTGTTCCCTTGGGAGTGGCAGTTTTAAAGGTGAAGCCCCCATCAGAGGTAGAAGGAACTGAAACGGTAGTTGCTCGTATGCTGTATCGATGGCAGCAGTAGGGTAGAAAGCTACCTTTAGCCTTTGCCTCTGGCTGGGTCAGTTAAGGCTGTACCCTGCATCAGAATAAGACCTGGATTTTTGTTTAGCACTAAACTGTTACTTGCTGTGTGACCTTCAGCAGGTTACATGGTCAGTTTGAACATCGTGATAGACATCATGATACTCCCATTGATAAAATGCTTTCAAATATCTATATAGATAATGCTGAGAGAATAACCTTCATTAGTCCATTATACAAAATTGAAAGCAGACTCCATTGGTTTGGGTCCAAATGCTATCCTACGGTTCGTATGTTAAATCATAGAATCATAGAATCATA